CTATTAAGGAAAACAATTCAACACAATTGAAAATATATCATGAATTAAATCTTTTCATATCTTCAATACATATTATATTTTCAGTAATTGCGTTAATAGACTCTGTTCTTAACCATTGACAAATATTATATTTTGTTAGGTCTATTTCCAAAAATACAAAAACTTATAGGTCATTTTTTACTTATAACTGAAAAAGTAGTAAGCTTAAGGACATACAAACACGTGAGAAGATTTAAAAGTCTTAAACTAGTTTTAGATTAATGAGCTAATTACCTGCCCAAGTCTAAACTTTAACCATGGACGTTTATATGCAATCTACTAGTCTATAACAGATACTTTAAAAACTTTTGGATCTTTTAGATTTTTAGATTTATATATTTTACACTAGAGATGTTTTGCCTATAAAAGAAGATGATTTAACATGCATTATTATATCAAAGTAGACATGTGTCTTTCTTTAAGCCCTTGTTTGAGCCCTATTAATTGGTGTTAATAGATTTTGGAATAGTGATTTTTTCGAAAATGTGTAGTTAAAAAGTAAGGAAATGTTTAGGTTTACGTACAGAATATTTATTATGTGATATTTGGTTAAAAATTAGATTTGAAAAAGAAAAAAGAAAAAAAGAATTTTGGAATAATGGGACGCGGGCTCATAGATCTTATTAAACGCAGCTCCACAGGTCGCCTTCAGTTGTCGGAGCAATTCGAAATCAGAGAAACTGCTGGAACTATTCTGAAACGGGTCTCAGAACCATTGATACCGTCGGACTATTGCCCAGGTCGACAACATAACCGAAAACTGTCACAACTTCAGATTTGATTCTATCGGTCCGAATAACAACGCTAATCGGTATGTAAAGCTAAATCAATGAAATCCCATTTGTCATCTTTACAATACCGATTTCTGCCCGTTTAGTATGTTGGTCATGTGTTATAATATCAGGATTTCAAGTCAGAAGGTACAAATTTAATGTTATGAACACATTGTCCACCCTTCTGCTATATCTTAAACATTACATGTAATAAAGAAGCATGTATCTGCCGTGCTGTCCCAGAAATCGCATGCACGTAAAAGTCTGTGACTTCAAAAGTAGTACGATTCACTTCGTCAACTGAAAAGGAAATATATATAAATTATATCGATCTATGTTTGTCACGTGTCTTGACATTGAGTTGTGACCTCCCATGCATTTATTTGATGAAAAACAATGACCTATCATGATATCACCTAAAAAAATACTTAACGTATCCTTGGCAACACGTGACTTTTTCAGAACGTTACTTGATAGTTTAATGTGATGTAAATGAAAAATCTGTGATATGTAGTGTGACAATATACATTTGCGACTAAGGATAAAAAACATATTGCTGTAATGTGTGAAACAAATATTGTGAAAATGTATCTTAAAAATGTGTGACCTACAACAGACACGATAACAGGCATTATACATGGCATTCATGCAAATCAAAGCTTATTTTTTTCATCTCGTTTGCAATGGAGTGATTTAGCGTTTATTTTGATGTGAATTAAGAATTGTAACTGAAATTGGTGAATTTGATTTCACAGAAATGGTGTATGTCCACGTCTGTTTATTGACTGGATGGCAAGTTTCATTGGTTTTGGTTGATCATAATTGCGGGTTTGCAAAGCTCGTAGATACTGTTATGACAGAGTTTGGATTGAATCCCACCAATGTGGCGGTGATAATGAAATATGTGTTGTGAAGTGACTTACCTCCGATCGTAATCAAAAGTGACATTAACGTGTTGTCATACATGGCGTTGAAAGACTTTTGGATCGTGACCCTTCCAAATATCCCACTAGCATTGAGGTCAATGAAGCAGAAATGGGCAAACATCAATTCACGGTACCGTGTGATGTACAGTATAATGAACATGAATTTTAGTTGATTGAAATGTCGTCAGATATTTGTGGAGCAATATAACATCCAACATGTGACAGTTTCGAACATGAGGTCACGGTTATATCGGTCGCAGATGGTAGGGATGTCAAGAAAGGACGGGTTTTTCATAACAAGGAGGTTTTGAAGCTGAGCCTGTCCTTTTATACAATCCATAATATGTTTGAATATGTTGTTGTTCGATCCAACAAGAAAGACTACCTTGTAAAGTGTTCACGTGACGAGTGTAACTGGATCTATAGATCATTGAAGCTGGGAAAAACAGAGATGTTTAAAATAAGACATATTGCAGACGGACACACATGTGCACCGAATATTGTTCTGGGGTGTCACAGGCAAGTAACAAAATCAGTTGTGTCATCTTGTATTAAATTCAAATACACATCGTCACGCACTATATACATTCCAAATGATATACGAAATGATATGTTGCATACTTATGAAGTGTTTTTGAACTATGTGAAGGCTTGGAGATCTCATGAGGAGACTTTAAGAATGATTAAGGGTGATCCAACGGATTCATTTGGCAAGATACCGAGATTCTTTTCTATGCTGCATCAAATAAATCCAGGGATGGTCACAGGAATAGAGCTTGATAGTCACAATAGGTTTAAATATTAATTCATGGCACTTGGAGCATCAATTCGTGGATGGGAACATTGTAGGCCTATTGTTGTGGTGGACGAGACATATCTAAATGGACATTATGGTGGGACCCTATTCACAGCTTGTACCCAAGATGCAAACAACAACATATTTATTCTTGCTTTTGAAATTTGAGATAATGAGAATGATAGTTTTTGGACATGGTTTCTACAAGAATTGAAGTGAGCTTATAGAATTAGAGAAGGGCTATGCTTCATTTCGGATCGTCACAACAGTATTAAAAATGCCGTTGAAAAAGTCTATCGAAGAATATATCATGGGATTTGTTCATATCATCTCCTACAGAATCTTAAAACACGTTACGGAAAATCAAGTCACAAAATAGTGCAATCGTTCAATGCAACCTTACGAGCTTACACATTGTCGAAATACGAATATTACATGCAACAGCTTACTGCAATTAATGAGAACATAACAATTTACTTGGTATGTGAAATACATATTATCTGCAATCTATATTGGTATCAAAACATTTTCCCTGCTATGGAAATATATTATATGCAACGTCATGTCTTTGTTTTGTAGGATGATGTTGGACTTGAGAAATGGTCACGATACCACATGCCCATAAATAGGTATTCCACAATGACCTCAAATAGAGTAGAGTCGGTTAATGCGGTCACAAAGTATGCTAAGAACTACCCAATTATAGCGTTGTTGGAGTCATTGCGACAAACGATACAGTCTTGGTTCTGCAAACATAGAGAGACAGCACATGATACGTTTACGAAGTTGTCAAGCAAGTACGAGAGGCAGTTACAAGAAATGAGCACAGATATGAATAACTTAAGGATAATATCTTTTGCTATAACTAATCTCCATTTGTATAACTATTGAATTGCGTAGTGTATCACATGGTTTTCATTTTCATGATCTTTTTGTCAAATATAACATTTCACACATACAACTTTCTTAATTAATTGTAGGTCAATCTTGTCAACCAGGCAATGTTTTGCGTTAGTGGTGACAGTTCATCTTTCGTTGTCGATATAGAACAGCGTACATGCACATGTCGGATACTTCAAGTTGATCGCCTTCCGTGTCCACACTCATTGGCTATGATTGCTAGTATGAAGATGAATCCATATGAGTACTGTTCCTACTATTACACAACAGAATCATATAAGAAAACTTATCAAAAAACAATATTTCCTGTTGGGAATATAACTGAATGGACCGTGCCAGAAAATTTTCGAGAAATGGTTATTTTGGCACCTAATCAAAAGCGCAGTTGTGGAAGGCCTACGGAAAAGAGATTTAGATCAACGTGTGAATAAACCGTTGTTATCAAATGCGGACGTTGTGGTGAACGTGGTCACAACCACCGTACCTGTAGCAACTTAGTTCCATTAAGTCAAAGCCAAGAGAAAGGAAAGAAAAGGAAAAGAAAGGCAACTGATGTTACAAATTGATCTATATGGACTGATTTTTTAATGTTATGAATCATCAATCTTCGTTATATGACATACATAATGAATGATTATTCTTTTACATCTCTTGTATAAAGGTGTTGTCAATATTAAATGGTCGATGACGATATTGATGTTTTATTTTGACATGCACTAATATCACGTGACAAGTCAACAATTGTATGTGATAAGCTATTGTCAAATTTACAAACATCTATGACCGTTCTTGCAAGCGCCGAACATATTATATGACAATCACAGACTAATCAGTGACTTCTTGATAATGCACATGAAAACGTAATGGAACATATGTCAAGAATCTGTGACGTGTAGTGACGCATCAGACTTGATCGAGTGGGAAAATCCTATGAGAAAATAATAGAAAAAAATCTGTGACCTATAATGATCTCGCATACATTAACATGTGACTTCGGACAATAGAAACTGTGACCTGTGGAGTGAACGGAATTAGTGAATCCTCATTAATGTTTCACATGATAGTGTAGTGTCACAAACTGTGACGTCTTGTGAGGCTATATATCTGTGACCGGATGACAGAAATGATGTGACAAAGAAAACAGACATCTATAACCTATAATGTCGGGCACAAGTGAATCTGTAATTTTCAACAACGCAACGGTTACATATTGTGTATACAAGTTTATATTGAAATCTGTGACCTGAAAAGCAAACATGCATAGGAGCTGTGACACTATTATTCCATATGTGACTTGTATGGTAACCATGAACAAAAACCTACAACGGTTTAAGACTCGTCTGTCAAATGTATTGTGATAGCGTTGACACTCCTGTGACTATATAAGAACACTTGTGACCTATAATTTAAACATTACACACATACAAGAACTACAATGCTCAATCAATATAGCTTTAAATTTCTCAATATCATCACTGCAAACTAAATAAACACAACCAAGAAGCAAACAAATTGTATACATTACAAACTACTGTCCATGGAAATATAACTACCATCCAACAAAAATTTATGACTAAGTCTGAATACATATCCAAAAACAATTAGTGGAAAGGAGAATCAACTATCACTCAATAACTATGCTTTCACCCCCAGTCTAATACACTTTGTTCCTTTCCTTCTCGATTTCACGATGTTTGTTTAGCAACGAAGCTACATCTAGATGTGCTCTACTAGCATCAAATTTGGTCTACAATGAGCCTATAGCTTCACGCAGCATATACTTAGCATACTTGATCACATAAATACCGCAGTCATGACTGGAAAAGAAGAAGGAGGTAATTAGGTGCGGGATGACCATTATCTATTTCTTTGAGATGAAAAAATTGTGGTCACAAACGTACCCATTTTTTTGATGTGGAAGTGAGAAGTCTAGCAGCACCTCCAACTCCATGAAATCATTCGAATGAGCATCTGAGTCTTTATTCCAAACTCCAATACGCTTCATGAGGTGGGGGAGAATTTTCACAAATGGTTCAATTTCAATATGGACTTTGATGTTATTGTACGTCTTCATGGATGAATTGAACACAAAAAACTGCTGCTTCTTTATATCGAGAACTCCCAGCATCCAGTGAGTTTGTTGGTTGGCAAAATAGGCATCAACACAATGTCCACATCAGACCATGGGGCGCTCAATGGAATGTGTGCACCTGTAATGTCATTTAGCAGGCTTGAATCGTTTAGGACCACATTTGTATCTTGCTTGAATTTAGGTTAGATGTTCTTCAGCTTTGCCTGGAACAAAGAGTCCGTTGTGGTAGCAATGTATTTCACATTTTAACCATTTCTTGCCAACTGACGTATGTAGTAGAAGCAAACATTCATATGCTGTCACAATGAACAGATAGGTCAAAGCAACAAATCCAGTAATAGTGAAACATGAGGTGCCATTAGCATATGACATGTACGTAATGACATTGTTCTTCTTCACACCCTGTGACCTATGCGTACTGAAATACTTATTTTAGATTTGACATGTGAACGGTACAATTGTGAACAAGTGTATGTGTTGTGTGAATTATTTTTATGCTATAACCTTTGGCTTGGACATATGATAGTTGATGACTTCATATATTATGTGACTACATCCCTATTGTTCTATGATAGTCATAATGTCTCTTCAAATGGTCTGGTTGTGAATTTGAAACAATGTAATGTGACCAATATAAAATATCATGTACATAAATAGTTTCTAACTGGAGTATGTTACCCTTGCATATGGTTTGTGAGTATGATTATGATAACAAATTGTGACAGTACGACCTATATTATTAGTGGAAGTAGTAGACAACATACCGAGCTACTCAGTGACACCTCCCTTGAAACTAGCTCGTACCACTATGTTTTGTTCCCTACCATAAACTCTCCAACAACGAACGGTGGACGAATGTGGTCATCTTTATCACTGAACTTCTTCCTACAAGCCAACGAAAATGATTCATTTCTCCGAGGTAATAAATTTACTAGCAATCATGCTTACTTATTATGTGGTTGTAGCCTCGTTGGAACCAATTTTGGAAGTTCGCAATGTCAAGGTCATCTACATTTTGATTATAATGTTCGAAAAGTACTACGTGTCCTGAAGGCTTGATTTGTTTCCCTTCAGTGACAACGTAAGGAGATTGTAGAGCTTTGGCTAGTCTAGGAGCACTCTTCACAGGTAAGCTAGAACTAGGTGCTATGACAGGTGAATCCTGCACAATATCTAGTGGTTAAATACCTCAACAAAATGTAATATTGTCGTACAATAGTGTTTGTATATAAATATCCATTACAAGTATGTCACATCTTTCCAATTTCTATACGAGAAAGTATTTATTGACATCACATGCGACTTTAATATAACGTGCACCATGTAATAGAATGCAAAAGTGACGCAATCATTCGTTAATACCTCTTTCCTCTCACTTTTCGTGTCCTTCACGACATCGGATATGATCGAGTCAACACGTGCTTGTAACTCTTTGGAGTATGTTGATACTGACATGCTTGGTTGCGTATATCCAACACCCAGATCGAAGGATGGGGGTTCCAAAGTACAGTGAAAGCCCAATTCATTAGCGTGTCCATCTTACCTTTACCTTTCAATTCACCAGTCTTGCCAATGTGTTTAGCTTGAAGAGAGAAAAAGACAAGTGAAATTCAGTCATGAATGAACTCATAGTTGAAGAATTCACGTAGTATAACAGTCACATACATCACCTGTGAGTTCAGACACTTCAATAGGTTGTGCAGCAAATTTCTTGCTAATTTTGTTCATAACCTCGTCCATAGAGCTGGAAATCATGGCAATGACAGAATCTGACATCAGTTTCATGTTTGACTTGATGTCCAGTAAGTCTGTACAAATTTTACCTCTCAAGCGCACTATAAGGTTTATTTTCTTGTGTTGATCAGACTTGATACACAACATCTATGACTTCACATCATCATGCTCAGAAATCAACAATTGGTTCTTAGAATGTAGTTCAGATCTTCTCTATTGAAATGCTTTCTCAATTCGTCAACAACCTGCAACATATGATTACCCGTAATGAGTTCCAATATGGAAAAAAAACATAATAATAATTCAATGACCTGTGAAAAATGTAATGCAAAATAAGTAGCAACATGTAACATATATTTATAAAATTTGCTAACTTGAATCTAACATCTTACATCGTTTGATTGAGGACCAGTGTTTTGAGGCATATGTGGAGTACTTGCATCAGTTGATTGTCCTTTCCCGATTGGAGAATTGCTATGGAATGTTGGGTTGTGCCTTCTAGGTAGAGTGTCAACAAAATCATCATCGTCTATATGTACGTCAGATTGTCCGACTCTACCGCTGGTTATTGTAAGTAAGGAAGTAGTTGTTTTCGCAATGAGCAAACTTGGGTCATCACTTGTGCTAGCACCGTGACTGATCTTTCAGTACTAGTGCCCGTTCGCCTCTCCCCACCAAACAGATCAAGCTGAACAGGTTTTGTGTACTCTGTACCAATCATATATTGCATTGCACTTTCTGATTTTGACGGATCAAGGTCACAAATTTCAACCTGCCATTCTAAGTATCAATTTAGTGGCACACTAGTTTGATAGAAATTGTTAGCATACAATGTGCAGCATGTCAAAAATGTGACATGTAACCTAAAGTGAATAATTTGTGACTCAGATTACATATATGTGACATGTTTCTGTAATCTTTGACTTCTGAATCTGTGACTATAACCTAAAGTGAATATTCTATGACTTAGATTACATATATGCGACATGTTTCCGTAATCTATGACTTGTGAATGTGACTGTAACCTCGAGTGAATAATCTGTGACTCATATTACAAATATATGACATGTTTTTTTGAATCTGTGACCAATGATATGTGTGACTGTGACCTCAAAATTTGTGTAACGATGGCGTTAAAGTACATACATTTGGGTTGGAGAGGCATTCAGGAACTTCCAACTTAGCAGCCAAAGGGTGGTCCTCTGCAGTCCAATTTCTTATTCGTGGGAAGGATCTCAAAATCCTTCTCGCTACTTAGCCATCTAGACTGGGTATTGTCTCATATATTCAGGCTTGAAACATAGTCAAAGGACCTCTTAATCTATAATGACTAGATCTATTACTCAACCCCTCTCTCAGAGAATTGATTAAAGTGTCAAACAATGACTTGCCCCATGGGAATGCGTTCATTTCATCAAATTCTTCAACAATAACAAACAAGAAGTGTTCATCTACCTTCTCGTAGTCTCTTGGATATAAAAATGAGGTGATAAAGTACAATGCAGCAAGTTTAGATATGTTCTCATCTGGAATGTCCCTTGCAGCAAGGAACGCGTCCTTGACATCTTCGTGTGTGACAGCCTTCAAGATACAAAAATACTTTTCTTTCAAGCTTGACAATGACTTCTCGAACCTGTTTGTATCGTCGTTGCCAAAATATTGGAGTCCGGAAACCAAACAAAATTCAGTGATAGAGAATCTCACAAATCTCCCTACGATGTCAAACCACAATTCATTCTCGTTTGATTGTTGAACCTGCCTCAACAGGAAATAATGAATCAATTGAGATTGAACCACGATTTCATGACAATCCAAAAAGTGATCGAAACATGTGTTACGAAATTGTTCTGTTGTGCCTTGTTAAGATTAGATTGGAATTTAGTCAGCACCCGCTTGGTAGGAATAACTGTGATTTTTCCAGGGAACCAGTGATTCTGTGGTATAATAAAGCTCCAAACTTGCATGTTGAGGAGAAAAATCAGTGACAAATGTCACACATGTAAAGTACTAAAATCATAATACACAAGGCAACAAGGTCCATTTTACGAGTTACATCTTCAAATATGCATAATAGTAACATGAAGAAGTAAACTAATTGGTCACATATTGACATTAAGGTCACATAAGTTAGTACAGTAGTGACCAATTTACAGGTCAAATGGATGCAAAGTTACGCCATTGATATCCGAGCTGCATATTGGTCACAGATGGATGAAAAAAAATTTGGGCACATATGGATTAGGGACACTGCATATGCAATTCCTCATCATTCGGTCGATCAAACAACGACTTTAACAGTTGAGTATGCACAAGCCCGTGACTTGCAGTAGTTCGACGCCCAACGTGCTCACGAGGAACTAGTACAACACAAATGGAATCACCCCGTACAACAAATTCACAAATAGAACTTATCATGCTCCATATGTTTAAAACACAAAATCAAATGCTCCATACCCATCAATTTTAGGGGTTCATTAATGTAAATCAATTAAAATCAACACGATACATACAAAAATACCTTCTTTGCAGAAGCCTTCGAGCCCAACCGAGAAGATTTGTGCCTTTTCAATGGGAAACCATTATGTGACTCCTCGACCTTCCTTTTACCTTTACCATCTGAAGAATCTGTGGCTTTCTTCATCGGATTTTAGATCTTCGAATGGGCTATTAATCTCGAGTCCCACACACCAACTAAGTCATAGTGACACCTGTACAATGAGGTTATGAGGCGGGAGGATAATGTGCGTGTCGGCAGCATTCGGGAGTTCACCAAAGGGCGAGTTCGTTGGCGTAGAAGGTGAGGGGTTCATACGATCATGTCGTGGAGTAATATTATGGACGTGGGGTGTGGTTACAAAGAATATGGAAGCTGAAGAGTTTTCTTAAAATAAAACTCTAAAATCACGGGATATGGTTGGAACGTATATATAAAAGGTGATATTTAAATATAATTACTTATATATATATATATATATATATATATATATATATATATATATATAAAATATATATATTTCTTTTTTATATATATATATAATTTTATATATATATATATATATATATATATATATATATATATATATATATAAATTAAATATATTTCTGATTTATGAAAGAAAAAACACCCCACTTGATTTAGAAATCACATTTCCAAAAGTAGGGTGGGGTGTAATTTCCACTATTAAAAATTGTGCACATTTTAGGCCTTTGAATAAGAAAAAAAGAAAAAAAAAGGAAAATTTAACTTAAACTCGAGGAACTCATCTCTAACAATTTAAAATTTTAGATAATATATTTTAGAATCCAAAAACTTAATTTTTACTGCAAGGGAGAAATTTATTTATTTATAACTTAACTACACAATGTGCTATAAGGGCATGCTTACCAAAGCTAGGATTAAATTGTAACTTCCTTTTATTTTGTAACGCCTCTAGGGATGCTTCGGATGAATCTACTCCCACATCTCGCCTTCATCTCTGCTTCCTTGAATCCAATGTGACAATATTATCGATGCAATCATAGCTCAGTCGATGACTAGTGAAAGAAAATGAAAATTTACTATGAGAATTGATGATTTGCGTGACTTGGTCTTTGAAAAGCAACACGAAATCTTGGGATTTCTCTTCTATTGGATTGCCATACGAATCAAAGTGTCTTAGTCCATAATACATTTGAGACTCACCAAACCCAATCCAGAGCAGGCTTAGTTTTTTCTTCCTTATATAGTACTTTCACCAGATTACTTCTTTATACTTCTACAAATACTAAAAATATAAAGAAGACATTCATCTAATTAATGTTAGAGAGCACACTAAAGAAAGAGTATGATGTGAGTGATCTTACAGTACAAAAATGTGGCTGCAGGTAGCAAGATAAGAACTGCTCCCAAATCTACAAGTATCACACACAAAAACACTACAAAATATCATGTAAAAAAACCTTAGAATAATGATACAAATTGTAAGAGATTAAACCTCTATGTATAGAAAAAAAAACCAGAATTACTACAATATTAGTACATGCATGTCAAAGATTTTCTCTAAAAAATGAGCGTTTTATCCTTGTGAATTAACGAGAAAAGTACAACCTGTAAATCTTGGGTCGCTATCATACCATCATATCTAATATCTAAATACAATAATACTTTGGATAGTTTTTTTTTTCTTAATAAAAAAAGTGGAAGTCTTTGGGCTAAAGAAACGAGAGTAGTTTCTTTGCAAAGAAAATCAAATTCAATGTGAAGATTAGTTTCAAGAGAGAAAGGAGGCACTGCAACAGGAACCATGATAGAAAGTGATATTGGCGCGGCTCAATCTGAGATCGTCGTTTACCATAAATACTGTACCATTGTAAATCCGTCTTCGGATTGAACCTCACCAACATCGCTTTCTTTGGCAGCATCCACCACATCTCTCAAACATACAGTACTGGTGAACTTTTGACATTTAATCCTATATTCAAGTTTTGAATGTTCCCTTTTCAACTCGAATATAAAGGAAATGCACATATATTGAACAACGAATGCTAAAAACATGGTCCCCTTTTGTAAACAAAATGACAATACAACAATCATTTTAAGGCATCTTAAGTGGGACATGAACTTGGGTGTATCAGTAAGAGGTGCATTGAAACTTATGTTGGTGGTTGAGGGTGGCAATTTTGATGTGGGATCATAAAAATCATGGTTTAATTCCGCGAATCGAGTAAAATCAAGGCCCTTTTTGTGCGTGATTATTAATTGCGAAAAATTGAAAAAAATTTATAAATTTAAAAAAAAAAAAAAACTTCGAAAAAAGATTACTTTTTAGGCCTTCAGTCCTATAGAATGTCCTTTTTCTTTCATCAATTATCAGAAATGGTGCATAAAACAAACCAATTACATAAAAAAATACTTGAAAAAGTTAGAAGAAAGGGAAAACCTAAAACCCTTTACGCAATGATATAATCAAAAAATGAGGGAACATATAAAATGCATTAAAATGATGATCAAGGGCCTCCCTATCGAATGCTTTGTGGGTTGTCTCAGACCAGAAACACAAAGCTAT